TTTCTTATGTCAGTTTGCTATAAACTTCTGCTGTGGTGCTAATAAGCACTGGGCTAAGGAGCCATCATATAGTCTGCCTATTTATGCATTAGTAGATTGGGTCAACTCAATCGTGTTTACTACAGTAAATCATATTTAGACAAATTATTGCTTAGCCCAGTGCACAATACAGTCTTGGATTAGGGTTTCAAACTCTTTTCCTTTTCACCCTTCCAGAAAGTACTTTATCTGATAAAATTCTGCACATGCCACTGTAATCAAGATGCTCCTTAAGGACTAACCACTTGTTCACACTTTGCTTTTCCGTTTTCTTTTATGCAGCCTTCCTTAATCTCCCATGCCCAGCAATCATAGACATCAGGTTAGAGAGGACTGGTCTAAATATGTCTTTTTATTATTTGAGGTGCTAAGCAGGCCTCTTATTTCGATTCTTATCTTGATAAGAATTCTTGCACTCTTTAGTTTTCACTTTTAAAAATATTTTATCCATGCTTAAATCGTGCCAATATTTAAACTAGTTTCGGTTTGAAACCATTGCTGAAATCAACTTCACTGAATTTACAGTACACTAAATGTGTCCAATATACAATGGGGTCAAAGTCCTTTTCTCTCCCTCCTTGCCCCAGTTCAGCTGGGTTCCAACATTTATGCCTTCTTGCTGGCCCCTCGTAGGTGCCCGCTGTCATCACAACGAAGACTGTTCTCCAGGGTTCTGCTGTGCCCGTCTCCATGGGGAAATGGTTTGCAAGAAAAGGCTACTTTTAGATGAGAGGTGCCTTGTCCCCCAAGGAGGGATTGCATTCAGCGTGAACCAGGTGTGCCCCTGTTTAGAAGGACTGGTGTGCAGACGGATGCAGCCCAAGCGAGAGTGAGTATTGTATCTCTTGGGAATACTAGACCAGTGATGGCAAACCTTTTAGAGACCGAGTGCCCAAACTGCAACCCAAAACCCACTTATGCATCGTCGAGTGCCGGGTGGGTGTGGCCTATTGGGTGGGCGTGGCTGCAGTGGTAACAGCAGACTGGGTGGGACTAAAAAGTTCAATCAATCAATTCCAAATTTACAAGACCTTTTCTTTTCCCGCCAGAAGTTGAAATTGACTGATTGAACCTTTTTTTTTGTTTTTGCACACGGCGGCGGAGGCCTAAAGCAAAAAAGTTTTATAAAACCCAGCTGAAGGCCTAGGACTGGGGCGATGGCACACGTGCCCACAGAGAGGGCTCTGAGTGCCGCCTCTGGCACCCGTGCCATAGGTTCGCCACCACTGTACTAGACATTAAAGACTGTCTTAATGCAGCAGAGATCATTGGTGAGGGTTCTAGTCTCTCACAATGGGCCACCCCAAAGACCTTAGTGACCCCCCTGATATCTGCTGCCCACATACTTCCCTTTAACACAACTTAGTGGTTTGTGGCATTCAAAGGATGATGAGCAATTGCAGTACATCTCTTCCCCAGCTAGCATCAAGGCAAAGGATGATGGGAAACCAAATCTAAAACCAATGGCAAGCACAAGTTTGCCCATATTGTATTCGATCACACATAACTGCAGGGACTATTTAGGTTTATTCCTTGTGACCATTTTTATTTACTGGCAGTTGAAATCTTATTTTTAAAAAGTTCCTCTTTTTCTCTTTTTGCAGGAAACCATTTGAGTACGAGGTGAAAAAGGATGACTGGAGGTGCCAAAAAAAATAGATAACTATGAAACAAGAGTTTTTCAAATAGCTGTATTTATACCATGTAAATAGTATTGTCTACCATCTATTTTGATTGTATATTTGCAAATATCTGAGATTTGTAACTAATTCATGAAAATATGGAACTAAAAATAATAAATGGATTGATGTCAACAGCGAAAACCTTTTGTTGGGATCAAGGACTGTTTTTTATATGTGTATAGGTCTCCAAGAGAATATCCAAAGACACACTACTATCGGTTGAACAATTCTGGCTCTGTGAGTGTGGGTGTGGGCGTCTGTCCATGTATATATGCATGTGCCTTTTATTCATCAAATAGTACTGTAAACATTGTACCTCTGAAAATCAGTGGTACCATCCAAAGTATCTGGAGGAGTGGAATGTACATAGCCTATTGACTGTAGGTTACCCTCTCCTACATGATTGGCTGGGGAATTCTGGGAGTTGAAGTCCACACATCTTCAAGCTGCCAAGATTAAAAAATACTGGTCTACTCTCTACCGTATTAGGGCTTCTGACATCTTTTTGGAGAGCAAAAAGATCAGTTAACTCTGGCATGGACAGCAATATTCATTAGATGTGACCCCCTGCAGACCCAATTCATAATAAGCAGATCTCCCCCCCCCCGAATTTATGTATCAAAAATACCTTCCTCTCTTTGAAAATGACCTGTATTTAAGGAGATATAAGGTGGCTTTTAATCTATTATATATTGAATATACTATCTTTCATTTAAGTATTATTTTATCATCTAAGGTTTTTTGTATTATTTTAAATAGCTCTCTGTTGACTTCCTATGTCTTGGATTACAAATAATGTCCAGCTAATGTGGCTTTTTATTATAACAGTTAAGGCTTGTTGTATGTGGAGAGGATGCAATTTATTATTTTAAAATATGAATAATCATTCTGAAGATCTAGTAACTTGAAAACAAAATAAATGAAACACTTGTTGTTCAGTCACTCCTTTTAGAGAAGAACATTCTTATCTCACATGAAAAACTAACATAATTCACAGAAAAATCTTCCAGCTGTATTTCAACACAATGAGACAAATGCCAGAAAGATGCCAGCAACAAACAAGCTAAACAGATGGGGATATAGCTCAGTAGGAGAGCATTTGACTGTAGATCAAGATGTCCCTGTTTCAAATCCAGGTGTCCCTTTTTTCATTTTAAGAAATTTAATTTTTCAGGTAGCAAAGAGACCTATTTCTACTCCCAAAACAAACATTTTGCATACTACAAACATAATTGTTAACTCCCTTCAGAGATGTGAATCAGACAGGACATATCATTGCTTAATTTTAAAAGTTCAGATTCTAAGTAACAGGGTGAAATGATAGGATGACTTAAGTGGGATCATAGGGCTTAACCTTCCACCCCAGGATATATTATTTTCAATAATATGTTCAATTTCCTAAAAAATATATCCATGCTGTCTTTAAGTACCGATCACCTTACTGCAAAGCATTTGATCAGGCAACACAAAACCTTTTGCTGAAAATTATATTACAACAGCATCAGGAAAAAAGAAGCAACGAGCTTCAAATTCAGAATTTCAGCCATGAATATCCATTGAATAGCAATCTTGCATTTATAAGCTAATCCCTCTCAGTCTTCAAAAACCAGACATTTACAAGAAAAAATTATATAATCAATAGAATTAACCAAGTCTAAGGCAGTCAAATCAAAATGACTTGGTCTTTTTAGGTTTTAAAAACTGCAATGTAAGTTTTGGAAAATAAAGTTATGTTTCTTACAAGGACAAGGTCTTTATATCTTGCAACTTGGCCAATAAATGTGGATTGTGTGAACATAGCCCTAGTGGTTAAACAAAATAGTCTAATTCTAGGGCATCTGCAATTAGATATCTCCCCTGGATTACAGGGAATGGAATGTTGGTTTTCAGATTATTTAGATCACTTCCCCACTTTCAATAGCCCTCCTCAAAGTAGCACATGCTACCGGTATTAGGCATGTGAAGGTAGTCATAAAACACTAGGAAAGGGCCAATATACTTCCCACTACAATATTGACAGGAAGTGTTAGATCTCCCCACTTTCCTGCCCCTCCCAGCCCAACCTGCTTCTGCTTTAAGAGAAAGCAATTGCAGGGGAAGAAATAATACAATAAATCAAGGTAGGAAAAGATTCTTGGATTTTCAGAAACCTTCTTGCTAATGCACTTGGCAATCTTCAGATCTGTTTTTGGACAGAGACATTTCACAAATCCTTGGTTGGAATCCAAAGCATCTAAGTCCCCAAATAGGCAGACTCAGCACCCTGACCTATAGCTTATTTAACCATGCTTTATTGAATTAGCCCTATTGCCTGGATCCGGACTGCAAAGCACTGAACCATAAGCTAACTACCCTGATGATTAGACTCTTTCACACTAACATGTTAATGTCTCTTCCTCTATTTTTTTAGTCAGAAGAAAGATATGCAAGCATATGTGCACTTTCCTGATAGCCAAGAACAATTTGCATCAGTAACTAGACTTACAAGTGAACCTATCCATATCAACTTACTGTGGGAAAAATTAAGGAAAGCAACTACTAGATTCCTGTGGCTTTGTTTTCCCACTCATCCCAAGTTACCAGCCAATGGGGAACCATCACCTGTGACACATTGTAGACTGTGGGACCAAAACTTTATCCATCTTCTAAAATGATTCAGTGACAAGTTGCTGGAGAAAAGATGCTCCAGATTGGTAACTGCCACATAGGCCATTTCTGAACTTGGGCTACTGGTTTCCCAGAAGACTAATAAATCTGGGTAAATAACCCAGCTCAGTTGACAAGTCAGTGAGGCAGACATGGATTGTGGGGTGAAGTAAGAGGAAACTCATATGGTCCTTGGTGGAGAAGATGGGACCATCTCCAGTGGCAGCTGTCCACTCTAAAACTAGCCTCAAAAGCTGCTCCAGCATCCCAAAAGCAGCTCTTCCTGACCCTTTTCAAACACCGTCAGTTCTGGTCCCAAGCCTACCAAGCACCAGTTTATCTCCCTTCCTCCCGCTCCCCCTCTTTCACACAGAGCTCCTCCGGAGTTCCTCGGAGTAAGAAAACGTATCCTACGGTGCCAGCCCTGTATTGTCCCCAGGTCTTCCTGCCCGATTTCTATCCCCTGCTTCCACCACGCATTCTGACGTCACTCAAGGGTTCCGCGGAGTCCCTCTTGTCCCCCTCGAGAGAGTTTTCCAGCCAGAGGGAGGAGCTCGACGGGGGTGGACTCAGCTTCTGACGCGCCACCTGCGGAGTCTATAAAGAGGGGCGGGGGCGGAGGCGTTTGCTTAGGAAGCTGCGAAGCTCGTGATGGGTCAGTTTTTTGCTAAACTCCTGAACATTTTTGGAAGTCGCGGTAAGAAGTCTTCGAGCTCGGCGCGCCCGCATTTCCTCCTTTCTTATGACATAATTCCCGAAATGCTAAGTGTGGCTGTCAATCAGATCGTGTTTACCTTCTCTAGGTTGTTGTCCACCAACTTTCCCCTACTTTTCTCTTCTCTCTTTCTCCTTAAATCCCAATTTTACTTTGTTTCTTGTTTTGCACCGACCATGCCTTCATGCACTGCATCCTCGCCTCTCATTTCTTTTGTTTCTCATTTGTCTTTCATTTTTAAAATTCATTTATTGTCTTTCTTTTCATATTCGATTCCTTTTTTTTTCATTCTATTTTTTCCCTTTTCTGCCCTTCACTTTGCCCCGGCAGCATTTTCACTTGATTCCCAACCTTTTCTTCTTTTATATCTTTTATTCATTTTTTTTCTCTCCCTTTCTCTCTTTTTACATATTTTCCTTTTTTTCACTCTTGTGTTTCTAACATTACAATTTTATACTTGTCCCTGTCCCCTTTCTTCTTTTATTATTCTATTTGGAATTGTGCTTCCTTTGCTTTTAGTGATTTCACTCCCTACTTTTCCTTTCAATTTCTCTGTTTCTATTTCTTTTTTTGTTCTCTCTTTTAATTTCTTTTTTCTTTCAAAAAATTTAGTGCCATGTTGTAGGGTCAAATTTGGGGTGTGGAGCCTGACCTTTTCAGCATATCAACTAGTAGCTGGTGAAGAAATCTTTTGTGCAGATAACCAGAATTTGCAGTTGTTGTGTGAGCACACAGCCTGTAGATACAGCATTTGTGTACATGTGTGCTTTAGAATGACAGGAAAGAGAGATGGTGTGTCTGTTGAGGAGGACTGAAACAATCAGGGAAGGCAAATGATGGCTGTTCATGAAAGTTTTTTTTTGGGAAAGGACTAAAGCAGGAGTGAATTCTAATGCTTCTCTTACTACAGTGTCTATAATAGGACATTTGTGTTTTAATTTTCAATGATCTTTCATTTTATACAGGGCATCAAAGATGATGTAGAAAGTCAGTCTGAAAAGTGTCTTTTGTGTGCACTTGCTTGGTGGACTATCAGTATTAGCTATTTCAGGGAGTGCTAATAAAGACAAAAGGCAGTGCCTGGATATCTGATGTTGAAGGGCAAGCGGTGTGTGCTTGGGTGTGAGAACAAATGAAGGAGGGGGATGTGTGGGCATAGAAATGGGAGAGTGATGGAAAAGTCAGACTGTAAAGCAGCAACAGATGAGAACAAAATGTTAAAAGCAGAGGAAATTAAAGCGGGCAATAGCAGAAAACTTAAACTGCTATAATATTTAAAGGAATCGGCTAAGGGATAAATCTTTGAATCCTTATGGTTTGCACACTTTTTGTTTACAGTTTCTACTATATACTGGTATCTGAGACAGTAACAATTTGGTCATTGCAAATATTTTCTATAAATTGGTCAAAATTTGCCCCTTCCATTGTTCTCTGAGAGTCTGGGAATTGCAAAAGTTTTTCAGTGGGTGGGAATAATGGGGATGTTTATGTGGAACTTCTGCCTTTCTTTGGCATGGTTTGTTTGCTTAGGCAAATATTTGGTAGAATAGTTTCCATCCTTTGTTCTAACTCTTATATGTTCTAAGCAAAATATTTTACATTCCTTAAAGTCTGGAACTATAAAGCCCCGTGCATATATAGCCACTTTTATATATATATATATATATATCTCCTGGTTTCACACTCCTAAACATTGCTGAAATACATATTATGGGTTTCTTTCTTGGTCTTGGAGTTTTGCCTCTAGAAAGAAAGAAAGTCACATGAATACAATATGTATATTTGTACATGCAGACCTGTACATAGCTTCAGCATTGGTTCTCAATCATGTTTTCATGTTAAGATGTAAATACAGTGAAAGCTGCCAGTATATGAGGGCCCTTTGCTCTTTGTCCCATGCATTCAACATACCAAAATACACAGGATGGCCTGCAAACGTCCAGGTGCCAGGCTAGGTCTAGAGTTTTCTATATTTTGTTGTTGCAATGTGAACTAGTTGTTTAGATTTGTGCACCCTAGACATGGCATCTCATGCCTGGAATCCCAATAAGAGCTGTAGCTAGAGTCTGGGGAGGGAGAGAAGAGAAGAGAAGAGAAGGAGGGAGGGAGGGAGGGAGGGAGGGAGGGAGGAAGGAAGGAAGGAAGGAAGGAAGGAAGGAATCTCAGAGAGCGATGGGTGGTTGTTTACCATCCAGCAGTGATGCTGGGTGGGCAAGGAAATGAAACTTGGGGAATCCACCTAAAGTTTTCACTATTTTGTCCCACATTACAACAGGAAGGACAGCACCAGCCACATTATTCCAGTGGAGGGATTGGAAAATGTTATGCCAGCAAGTTGGGCAATGTTGTGCTTCAGGGTTTAATGGCCATGGTCAAGGGCTAGGCTACAGATGTCCTGACATTTTGCTGGCAACTGTGCATCTTCAAAGGCAACATATTGAGCAAGGATTGACTGAGCTCCTGTCTTTATAGCTAGGTGACCTGCTGGGGTCTTTAGCTGAGCTGATTTCTGATTGGTGCAAAGTCACTGAACCCTAAAACACAATAGTGCCCAACAGATACTGGCCATGGAAGCTTACATATTATGCCAGTGTGATTTTCTGTCATTAAGAGACTGGTGAAGAAAACTTTCATATGGCCAACTGGCTATGACCTAAGATAGAAAGATTTTCAGAAAGCCAAAGGGGAAGTAATCTGAGAGGAGAGGATGGAAGTGCCATATGTAGGGACAATAGTCCACTTGAATGTCCCTCCTGACTGCTGCATGGAGAATGAAAACCAGGTTTCACCTACAAACAGGCTATTCCATATGCCGTCCCTTGTGATGTGTCTAAGCTTGCATATATAGCACTGGTTGCATTGGCCCTGCAGTATGTAGGCGTTCCTTCGTTACTTCCAAGGTTTTCTTGTTATGTATCAGTCTGGAATATAGCACCAAACCTCTGGGTTTCCCAATACATTCATATACTATAAAAATGTTTGGCAGATTTCCACAAAGAAATAACCATCCTTAAAAATTAGCTAAGCACCATGCAGATGTGTTCATATGTGCTAAGATGTGACTTAGTCCAATGTACACAAACAGGAACAAGCAAAAGCAACTTCGAGTATGTGTGTTTTTCTTCCCATCCTCCTCTGGGGCCTAGAAGAGAGCTTTGGAAGTCTTAACATACATTTACAATGGACCAAAACTGTGATCAACATTAATGATGGCTTGTTTAAATTAGTGAGCTTCCAATTTCAATTTGAATGTTATCACTAGTTTGAAATTATGGCTATTTATGTCAAAAGTTGATGCAGATAATAAACTAGGTTTCCACAAGTGAGGCTCTCTCCCAATGTGTAGGCTTTAACTCCCAGAACTCCAGACTATTCATAGCTACTGATAAACATAGGATGAGAATCTGGCTCAAATGGAAGCGATAGAAATCTTCACTTTTAGTCAAATGGGAGGAGAAATGGACAGGGCTTACAATGAAGATTCATTGAGTCTCAACGCTGCTTATCTTACGATATAAAATGTAATACGTATGTAGTCAGAAATTGTGTTTGGACATTGGTTGTAGGTGCTCTCTCACTAGAGGTCTAAAAAAAAAATACTGCTCGACTACTTGACTGGGATGGTATGAGACTGCTGCCTTGAGCAGGGGTTGGATGTGTCAAACTGCCGGCCCGCAGGCCAGATGCGTCATCCAGAAGCCGCGCCCACCCCATTGCCGGCAATGGCAAAACTGTCCCGATATGTCTTGTGACGTCACATGACATCACGAGTTTGACATGTCTGGATTAAAAAATCTCCATGGTTTGTTGCAGCCCTTTGACTCTATTTTCTATGAAATTATTTTAAGACAGTGTTTCTTAAACTTTTTGCGGGCAGGATCCCTTCCCGCTTTTAAAAATTATGGAGGACTCCAAAAGAGCTTTTTCTTGTATGGCTATATTTATCAATATATGCTGTATTAAAAATTTAAATTGATGCATTCATAGAATATTTATTGAATGCTGAAAAAATAACAGTATTGAATCCATTAGATATTAAATAAAGTATATTCACAAAAAACATTTTTAACAAATAAAAATTATAATGAGAAGAGATTGTTTTAAACTTTTGAAAATATTTTCGATAATGGCCAAATAATTTTGATTTTGCCGACGCCTGAAAGGGTCCCGTGGGAACTCTAAGGCCCTTGGACCACATTTTTAGAAACATGCCTTTAAGACATAGATGAATGTACTTATCTTATTTTAGGTAGAGGCTGAAACCCAGAAAGCAGTAATTAGAACTGGATCCACGTGATTATATTTAATGTTGAATAAAAATACATATGATTAATCTAACTGCAATATTTGAAATGCAGCCAGGTATTTAATCATTTCTCCTTTTGTATCATGATACAAATTATAATTTCCATCAAAGTTTTCATCAGACTCAGATTGTATATTTCTGTCACAATTATACATTACAAATTAGAAGACTTCATTCATATAGAATGAGCCAAAAATGAAGAAACCACATTATAAGTTAGTATTATATATACACACATTCTTTGAGTCCATATATGGAATTTGAAACAATGCTTGCTAATGCTACTCTTTTGAGAGCATCTTGGGATTTGTCTGTATTTAGAGAGAACAAATTATGCCATTGTGTTGTTTCTTTACGTTTAAGTAGAGCTTCCTTCCTACTCTGCAAAGCAAGCAAGTTTCATGTAATCAGGCTGCCAGCCTTGTTCTTAGAAGAAACAGATTATTTTTAAAAAGAGGGCTGCTTGCCAATCGAAAAGGTAATCTCATTATTTTATTTTCCCATATATGGAACTCTTAGACTACCGTAGGAAAGGAAGGGTTATGATATACAGGGTTGCAATTTGAAACAGTTTTTCTGAACCTTGACGTGAATTTAAACAACTGTGTCTCCAGAGAGGGAAAAATGTCTTTCAAATGTCCTGACCTACAATCTGTGTTTAAATCAAGTCCACTTC